ATAACCACTAGCATGCAACACTAACTCATACTCAACATCTAACACTACTAAGATAACATATCCAATGGGCAGGCCTTGGTGCCTTAGACCCCTTAGTATAGTGAGGATAACTCACCTCGCAACTGTCGTCTGAAACTAGAAAGCTCAACTCTCGGATCACCAACACGAACTCCCCCACCTATAGTTACCATAAAACCCTTTTTCATAAGTTTCCAAATTACCAAAATACCCTCAGAAGTCAACTGGTCAACTCTTGGTCAAATTCAAAGTCCACAGTCAAAGTCAACCGTCCATGTTGACTCGACTTGTCGAGTGTAGTTCACCGACTCGTCGAGTCCTTCCTGAACTCGAGATGTCGTGAAATCCTTGGTTGACTCGTCGAGTTTCCTCGTAACTCGCCGAGTTCACGCGTATCAAAGGGTTGGGGAAAAACCCTAGCCACCCGTCGAGTCATAAATCTGACTCGCCGAGCCCAAGGCAATCTTCATCGGACTCGCCAAGTTGTTCATCCAACTCGTCGAGTACATGACTATCTTCATATGACTCGCTGAGTCGAACTTACGACTCGCTGAGTCCCTTCAATCCTTCATTCATACAGACGATTTTAAGCTGCTTCAAAGCTTCAAACAGTAGATCTGGGCTCCCAAGGCATGTTTATCATGTAAAGTTGCAACCTGTACGTGCATGCAAGGCTCTAAAGGCTTAGAATGTCAATCTCAAGCTTACAATGGGGTTTATCTCAACATGGAGGGTTCATGCTTGCTAAAGCTGGAGACTTTATGGCTTTAGAGTCCAAGATGAGCTCAGATCTGAAGTTGCAACTTTAGATCCTAGTCCATACCCGAAAATGAATATCACCCATGCTATAAAAGCCCTAATCTTTAACATGAAGAGATCTAGAAAGAACAAGGTCAAGGTAACAACTTGTTACATTCAGACTGATGCCACTGAGCAGAGAGATCGAATCCACCAGCTCCTCTATGATCAAATTTTCTTAAACTCCAAGCCGTCTTCTTGCAAATGCTTCAAGACACACTTTCCCTCCTTCACACACTCAAAATGGGGGTTTGGATCGGTTAGGGCTGCTTCTGGACGTCAAGGGGTGATAAGGGGCTGAGGTGAGGACTTAAGGTCCTTTAAATAGGGTGCAAACCCTAAAATTAGGGTTTTCTCTTCCCAGCACCAACTCGTCGAGTCCAGCCGCCGACTCGGCGAGTTGGTCACTTAACACGTGGCCAAAACCCTCTCTGACTCAACGAGTAGGCATACCTACTCGCCGAGTAGGCTTCTAAAATTACACATAAGCCCCTAAATCATACTTCTGAAGTTTGGGATGTTACATGTAGTTTAACAAAGTTTCACGTGCAAAAGGTGGGAACTAACAGGAATACCGTGCAAACAATGTGTGGCTGCTATTTAGGACATGGGGATGAATAACAAGGATGTGGGTATCCCAGAATCATTTGTGCATCCATGTTACTGTTTATCAAGCTGGAAAGAGATGTATTCTTTTAAAGTTAGTACAATCAATGGAAGGTCCATGTGGGAGAATTCAGCTATACCACCAACTTTGTTGCCTCCAAAACATTGTGTTCCAATAGGAAGACCAAAGAAGAAGAGAATAATATCAACTGTGGAAAAGGAGGACTATGTTAGATGAAACATAGCATCGAGAGCCCATAGAACAGTAACCTATAACAAGTGTAACAATGTTGGTCACAATGCAAGAACCTGCAAAGGGCAAAGACCAATTGTTGGTGGGGGTGGTGGACAATCAAAAGTCAAAGGAAACGGGAAAGGGAAGGCAACGACTTGATGGTTTGTAATAGGGCTAGTATTTTGTTAGTTTTAATATGAATGGATTGTGTTATATTGCTACTTGTAACAGGGCTAATATTTTGGTACATTATTTATGAATAGTTTGTAATAGGGCTAGTATTTTACTACTTGTTTTGGCCAATATGTTGGCACTTTTGAATGAACTAGTTTGTAACAACTAATCCTCATTGCCCTGTAATAGTTTGGTACTAATTAATGGAATGTTTTCTTCTTATGATGCATCATTGCTACTTGTTTCGGTCAATATGTTGCTTATACATCACTTTAAAACATAATCAATACAACACAATACCATTTTCATTGATCTTAAAGAACTTAACCATTTGCATTACAAATACTTAGACAACCTAACCATTACAGAAGATGATACCATTACATTCACTACTACAACCTAACAATTACAAACGACTTTACCATTACAATAACAACTAATCTTCATCTTACAACTTGTAAACAAGTATCACCAAGAACAATACCCAACTAATAAATAAACATGTCTTCAAGATTAGATTTTCATTTTGCTGCTTCTTGTTCAACCTCACAAGTCAGGAGATTATCAAACCATCACCAAAATCCTTTTCATCATCATCTACCTAAGAAATAAATCCTTTACGTGGTCCCTGTCAATTTCTAAAGCCACGATTACAATACCCATAATTGCATACAGTGATATCTCCAACTAGGGTTACAATTACAAAATTCTCAAATACAACATACCTTAGTTGGACATGCGTAAAAGGGTCTTCCTGGATTATTGTTAGTAGTTGAAGTCCGAATTACAGCAGCACGCCCACAATCACATTGAAGGAGAGAAGTTGTAACCGATTCAACGATGGAGAAATTGAAAGAAACTCAAAATTAGGGTCCATCCTAATGAAAAAGCGAGTATTTGAAGATCGTTGGCAATGATAAATGATTATTATACCCCCAACGTGCAAGGCACGTAGGGTGTCTAACGGAAACAATTGACGGATTGTTAAAATAGGGACTAGGCGCGTTGCATAATTAAACATGAGGACATTCCAAGTTAGAAAAATAAGTTAGAACCAAGCGTGCAATTTATACTAAACCACAGGGACCATTCGCGTAATTTTCTCTAAAATGATTTTACTCTTCAACAAAATTGTCAACGGGTTGACCCAATCCGAATTTGGCGCCATCACTTCTTATTCTGAAGTCCCAAGTCCTAACCCACTTTCTGACCCGTCCATTTCAACTAGGAATCTCCTTCCTCCTCCTGACCCAAAACAAAATAACAGATCTGGATGCTTTTTGTTTTTGATCCTCGAATGTCCCCCACGAATCTCCCATTTCATCTTAATTTTCTGTGAAATTATTCCTCGCGTTGATCTGAATAAGGCTTTCCCACCGGCAACCGGACAATCGCTGGATTTCTCATCGGCAATGCGGAGGTTTTCGTGCTATATTTCAATTTATTACCGTAACATATGTTAATTCTTGATCCTTTTCAATATAGCTAAGGATTTTCGTCGATTAAATTCTGATTCAGGATTAATTGTTTGATGGATGTGTCGGGATAAACCGAACGCAACGAGCAATGTCGGGGGAATCGTCATCAAATCAGGGTGGTGAAACGGAGGAGAGAAAAATATGCGCAAATGGTGGTTCTGTACAAACGGAAACCGTCGAAGCAAAGCTCGATGCGGGTAATATTGATGAAGCCGAATCTGCTTTGCGTGAAGGTTTATCACTCAATTCCGAGGTTGGTTTTTCTACTGAAATACCTGAAAGTTTGAATGTTAGTTTTTTGGTTAATTAATCGATTTGGGGCTTAAATTTTTCAGGAAACTATTGCTAACTCTAATAAACAAAATGTTGTTGTTGTCGTATTGGTGTAAAGCACTTTCATTTTACATAACATTTGGAATAAAGGTTCAAAGCTTTTGTCAATTTCTGGTGGGTCCTTGAAGACTTTCTGAAAAATTGACTTTCCCCTTTTTTAAATCAATGATCGTGAAAGTGATTATGTTAATTACGTCTATCACTAATACTGAAGATGTATTAGGGACAACAATTATTTTTTATGATCAAGTTGTTAGGTTGACAACCTTGTTGAATTTACTACTTTCTTTTTCCCCAAAAAAGTTACTTATGAAATCAAACTTGTTCCTTTAGGTTTAATGTAATTAGGATGGTTTTCTATGAGTTAAATTTCTTCATCAATGTTGAAGTTATAGATTAGCCCATTTGACCTAAAGTTTGATAATTAATGGGAAAAAAACAGGGCCTTAGTGAATTCAATTATAACGTTTTGGTGTTAAACTATTATTGGATTTAATTATGCTATGATTGAAAAAACTACAGGAAGCACGCGCTCTTCTTGGAAGATTGGAATATCAAAGAGGAAATGTAGAAGCTGCTCTTGGAGTATTTGAAGGCATTGATCTTGAAGATGCTATACAACGCCTGCAATCATGTTCTACAGAGAAAATACATAAAAAGGGTGGGCTTTCAGGCCCACATCTGGGGGCCAATCTCGTGCTTGAAGCCATATATTTGAAAACCAAGTCACTTCAAAAACTCAACAGGATTAAAGGTAATTTGTGCTCTTGAGAAGCATATTCTAAGTTCAACATATTGCATAAAATATCAATGCACTTTATCATTTATCAACCACTAGAATTTTTTATAGTACTAATAAATAATTTTGAATGGAAAATTCGGATGCTTTTTATAATAAATAACAATTTTGAATGGCACTTTATCATAAATAACGATTTTGAATGGCACTTTATCATAAATAACGATTTTTGAAATTCGGATGCTTTTTATAGTAGTTTTTTTTTTTTTTTAATAATAAATAGATGGTTTTTGTAAGGATTTTTAAAGTTCGGTGACAAAATTAAAAATGGGGTGAAAGTGTTGCTATTTGTCAGTTTGTTGCTTGTGTTAATTTCCCCTCCAAAATTTCGTGTACAAATTAGGGAAGATTTTACTCAAAAAATTGTTAAAAGTTAGTGGTAAGATGTCTACAATACCCACCAATAATGATAAGATAAATGGAAATGGGTATATAGGTACTTTTTTTGTCATTTTTATGGAGATTGAAGGAGAGAAACTACCTTTTATTTCCAAAAATATTTTTAACTACAAAATCGTATGACATTTTTAAACCACTCATCAGTATATGAGACTTTGTTGATTGTTTTGGGGAATTTCGACTAAAAAGCCTGAAACATCTTGACAAAGTTGGATGACTTTAATAACGGCTTTCGAAAGTATGATTATTATTATCACAAATTTTGAAACTTGGATGATCTTCCTGACATTTTTGAAAGTAGGATGATTTTTGTAGTCTTGATCTTATTTTTTTTTCATTGTTATCATTTATGGTGAACAACAGACTAACCATTATAATTTGGACAATTTTGTGGTTTAATCTACTTATATTTTATTTTTTCGATTAAACCATACAAGTTTATGACATTTTTTCAAATTAATCATTTTGACCTGTGGTCAAATTGGTAATTCAGAAAATTAGCTGTAAAATCTTGATATAACAAAATTAACGGTGTAACCTTTAGTTTCGACTACTTTGACTCCAATTAAAATTGTCACAACAGAAAATTTTGTCAAATTAATAGTTTTAGAGAAAAATTTAAAACTAAACTTTGACACTTAGTATTTACTGGAACCACTAAATTTTAACAAAACTTATTTAATTTTTTTTTTTGACGACTTCACCTTGGTGGACACAGAAAATATGGCAAACTTATAATTCCTGTTATTGTTATTGCAGATGCTGCTGAAGAGTGTAAGAGAGTTCTTGATGCAGTAGAGAAGATATTCCCACAAGGGATTCCAGAGGCTTTCGTAGACACCAAACTACAAGAAACAATCAGCCGAGCCGTTGAGCTCCTCCCACAACTATGGGCGGAAGCCAGTAGCTACCACGAAGCCATCGCTTCCTATCGGCGTGCCCTTCTCACTCACTGGAACCTCGATAACGACAGTTGTGCCCGAATCCAAACAAACTTTGCAGTATTTCTACTCTATGGCGGAATCGAAGCCGTATCACCAAGCACAGCCACGCAAGTCGATGGCACATATAACCCTAAATCCAACATCGAAGAAGCCATTTTACTTTTGATGATCTGCATGCGAAAGTTTTCACTCGGCAAGGCGAAATGGGATCCGGCTGTTGTAGAACACCTCACTTTTGCTCTCTCACTTTGCAACCAAACGCCGATTTTAGCAAAACAAATGGAAGAGGTGATTCCCGGAGTAATTCATCGTGTCGATCTGTGGAAAAATTTAGCACTTTGTTTTAGTGCGATCGGACACCGGAAAACCGCGCTCGATTTGTTGAAAAAAGCCCTTCACAAACACGAAAAACCCGACGATATCACCTCGTTGCTGTTAGCCGCTAAAATTTGCTCCGAGGATTCCAGTTTCGCGGCGGAGGGAATCGAGTATGCTCAACGCGCGGTGAGTTGTTCTAAAATCGGAAACGAACATTTACAGGGCGTATGCCTTAGGGTTTTAGGGCTTTGTTACGGGAAACAAGCGAGTATTTCTGCCTCCGATTACGAACGTTCACGGCTTCAATCGGAGGCGTTGAAATCGTTAGATGAAGCGATTACGTTCGATCCTGAGAATTCCGATTTGGTTTTTGAGCTAGGGATACAATACGCGATGCAGAGGAACTTGAATAACGCATTGCGATTAGCTAAACAGTATATCGATGCAACCGGTGGGTCGATGCTACGTGGTTGGAGGCTTTTGGCTTTGATTTTATCGGCCCAACAACGGTTTCAAGAGGCGGAGGTGGTGACGGATGCGGCTTTAGATGAAACCGCGAAGTGGGATCAAGGGCCGCTTTTGAGATTGAAGGCGAAATTGAGAATTGCTCAATCACGACACTTGGATGCGATTGAAACTTATCGACATTTGCTTGCTTTGATTCAAGCACAAAAGAAATCTTATGCGCCACTTCATAGTACACACCAGGTTAGCTTTTTTAGTTGTCTTCTTTTGTTCTTCTTTCTTGACTGATTGAATAATATATGAATAGTATTTGTACGATTGTAGATTGAAGATGATAGAGTAAACGAGTATGAAGTTTGGCAGGGTTTAGCGAATTTATATTCTAGCCTCTCACGTTGGAAAGATGCAGAGATATGCTTGGGGAAAGCTAGAGCAATTATTGAATGTTCATCTGAAACATTGCATACTGAGGGTAAGATCTAATGCTCCAATATTTTATTTTAATCTAATTATTATTTACATACCCTTTTATCTATTTCAGTTAAAACAAATAAACCATTAAAAGTAAATTTAGTTTTAAGGGCAAAATATTCATTGGTTTACTTGATTTTGATTATTCAATATTATATAATTTTCAAACTCTTTTGTTTTAGGGACGATTTACCAAAGGCGTGGAGAAATTGATGAAGCCCTAGCTACCTATGTTAACTCTCTACTAATAGAGGCAACTTATGTACCTTCGAAGATATGTGTGGGGGCAATTATGTCAAATCGTGGCTTGGCCATGTTGCCTGTGGCTCGAACCCTCCTCTCAGATGCGCTACGGCTTGAGCCCACGAACCGCATGGCGTGGCTCCACTTGGGATTTGTTCATAAACTCGATGGACGGTCATCTGATGCCATAGACAGCTTCCAAGCCGCCTCCATGCTCGAAGAATCCGATCCTATCGAAAGCTTTTACTCAATTCTTTAATTTTTGTTGTAATCAAAAGGATTTTAAATTATTCATTCTTTTATTCTTTTAGTTTCCGTGACCTTGGCCTTGTTTTAACAATATCTTTGTTTTAGTGGGAAGGAGGTGAGAATCTGTATCTAATGTACATTAGATACAAATTATCTCTCTCTTTAATGTTGGTTGTGATACCGGTTGATGAGGGGGCATTATCATTTTTTTTTTCTTTTTTTTTTGTAGCAAAATGTATAAACTTTGTGGGGTGTAGAAGGAAGTTGTGTTGTGGAAGAACTCAATTTTTTTTCATGATCGATGTGTATGTATGTCAATTTGTATCGTACGATGGTGTCAAATTGTCAATGATTTGGTAGATAATAATGACCCTTTGCTTTCGTATTTGTTCTCCATTTCCTTTAATATAAGATAACTTGTTTATTTTAAAACTAGGTGTAAGACCCGTGTATTATACGGGTTGATTAAAAAAAGTTAAATATAATTGTGTAAACATTAAGCATGTTTAAAATGGTAATTTTCAATAAAAAATACCGTCTTTCGAAAAAAAATAAAAAAGACTTTGCTTTCTTTTTTGAGTGTTTCATATCCGTGTAAGGGTTGTCTTTTGTTTAATTATTAAGTGTTCTAAATGATGAAAAGGAAAAAAAATGGTCCAAATGACCAAAAAGGTCAAAATTGTCATTTTTACCTAATACAATTGCAAAAGACAGCCTTTTAAGTTCCAAGTCGGGTCTTAATAACGAATGGGTAAGCTTCGAAAAGGATGTTGGATGCAAAAAGGTTGATGGATGCAAAAAGGTTGATGAGTACGAATCGGGTGTTGGATGCTGGAAGCATGATGGTTGCGATTGGATGCGATCGATCACAATCTATCACAGTTTACTAGAATAGTTAATGCAAACCACTTTGGAACGAGGTTGGGTGCGGATGCCATTTCCATTACGATTCCAATTTGGTGCGACAAGTTGCGACTGACTACGAACTGTCAGAACGAGTCGAAGTCTTGTGATATCGGTACGACAAAGTCTTTTGGTTGCAATTATCCAAGCGCGATCCTATGCGAACCTCACAAAGCTATCAGATGCGAACGTCAAAACTCTAGTTGCAATTTTCGGATTTGGATGTGATTCTCGCAATGGGTCCAATTGCGATGCGAACTTCGCAACCCATTGGACTTTCATTGGTTCTGATGGGCTGGTGCAAGCTGTTGGGTGAGAAGGCTATTTGAGATCAATGGTACAATGGATTTGCATGATTAATTGCATGTGCTAGAACTGGAAGATTCTAGAGACGATTTGAGTTATTTTTAGCCTTTATTTAATAGCTTCATTTTTAATTAATAGGTTCCTTTTATTTATTACTTTCCTTTTATTTTGTAATTGTTGCTAGACTATAAATAGCCCCCAATGTCAAACATTATGAGAGATAGTTGAATGAATTGATTTTTGAAGAACTTTGTTCTGTTGAGTTGCGTACTCGCCTCTTTGTCAATTCTGGGATGCGTATTCTAGGTGATGGTTTTTACATGTAATAATGCGGAAAATACCTTATACTCCTAAGGGTACATGCAACCTAATTTGATCTATGTCATAACACTATTGAATCAACATACTATTGAACAACACAACTTCTAAACCCTAATGGAAATCGAAATTCACAAAAGGAATAACATACCTATGATTTGTTATTGAAAACAAACCCTTTGATCCAATTAAATCAATCTGATAGTCTCTTGAAAACTAACTTCAATTGTGTGCAAGTCTATAATGGTTCACACCCACAACACAATATCTCTATAAGAATTAGGAGAGAGGGGAGAGGAGGCAAATTGTCAGCTTTGGTGTGTGCAATAGAATGGCCGAAAATCCTCAGGTATATGACCCTATTTATAGCTGATTAGGAAACGCCTAGAAACCCTAATTTAAACAGAAAATAATATTATTTCAAATAAAGTAATTTTCTAGTTCCTTAATTATGTACATGAAGGCTTCCAAAGGCTCCAAGAGGAGCCTCCAAATCGTCCAATAGGGGAAGGTTCTAGAACCTATCATCTGTTCAACTTTTGAACAATTACAGCTATAGTCCTTCAACTTTTAATTAATTCTAATTAACATTTCAAATTAATTATAATTAATTCTAAATTAATTATAAATATTTCTAATTAATATATTAGTCATATAATATATTAATAAAACATTTATCTCTGTCCTATAATCAATCTAAGCAATTTCTTGGTTATGAGGGCAACCTAAAATGGACTTTACTTTTATTCATCAACATTATACCAATTTAGTTAAGACCCTAGACACCTTAATCCAATTGTCTCTCACTGGGATAAGTCTCTAACTATAATTGTTCGTACAACTTCGAATAACCAGTAAAGAGTGTTTTCAAGACACTACCAGACTCTGTTAGTCCTAAGATAAGTGATCAACTATTACTTCGTTCTTCTAAATATCGACTGGAAATGAGACATGGATTAGAATCAATCTCTTGTCTAATATTCTGTTTACCGATAATCACGTTTTGTGATGACGTCATTAGACTACTAATTGAACACATTAATTCAGTCCTGGCTGGGGCCCAACACTATAATGTCAACATCAAAACTCCGAGGGGCCCAAAGATATCACTTTTCCTATTAAGGTAGAAGGAATGAATAAACTTCAACTATATAATCATACAATTTCACTCATTGAGTCATACATGGGAATACCCTTTATAGCACCCAGTTACAAGATGCGTTAGAGTAAACCAATGCACAACCAACTCGTAAATTATGACTTACATATGTCTATTTTAAGAATAGAGGATATTATCGTCTTAGAATTACTCGTGATTAAATTCATGAAGTAATCTCTAAGCGCAAGTTTAACCAATACTCAAAATCTGTATTTCTAAGTACTCATGAATTCTGTAGCAATCCCAATGCAATGTCCAATCTCTATGGACAATCTACAAACAATACATGGCAATCTTAAATCAATACTTACTCCTAAAGTATGACCGACTGTGGTTCTTCGAATAACTTAATATTCAGGAAGTAAAACATGCAAAGTGAAATGCAATAATAAATTAATTGACAAAAAGCATCATACAAATTGAATATAAAGAAATCTCTATTTAATTAATCATAATTCAATTACAATTTTATTTCTATATAGTTTCAAAATAAAGTCAACACTAACATCAAAAATCTAATATCGTCTCTTAGTCCAATGCTCCTAGCATGCTCAAAGTGCTTGACCTTGCTCAGACCCTTCATGAGAGGATCAACAGGATTCTCTTCTGATGATACACGATTCACCATGAGTGTACCCTCTTCAACCCTATGTCTAATGTAGTGATATTTCTTGTCGATGTGTCTAGATCTACCATGATCTTTAGGTTCTTTTGTCAAAGCTACTGCACCCTCGTTGTCGCAAAAAATCTCCATTGGTTCTTGGAGTGATGGAACAACTCCAAGATCTCCAATAAAATTATTTAACCACATAGCCTCCTTTGTTGTCTCGCTTGTTGCGATATACTCTGATTCACAAGTAGAGTCAGCCACCGTTTGTTGCTTGGAACTTTTCCATGTTACCGCTCCACCATTTAACAAGAAAACCCAAACAGATTGAGAATAACTATTATCTTGATTTGTTTGAAAATTGTTGTCACTATACCCACTCACCTTAAGTTGCTGCCAAAAACTAAGATCATATATTTTGTTTTCTGTAAATACTTAAGAATGCTCTTCACTGCCCTCCAATGAGCTAAACCAGGATTTCCTTGATATATACTAACTGTGCTGAAAGCATAAGCCACATCAGGTCGAGTACATGTCATAACATACATGATCAATCTTATAGTCGAAGCATATGGAATCTGACTCATAGTATCTATCTCCTTATCACTACTGGGGCATTGAGTCTTGTTCAACTTAACAATATGATGCATATGTAAGTCTCCCTTCTTGGAAATTTTCGTATTAAATCTTTTCAATATTTTATCCAAGTATGTACTCTGACTTAATCCTAGTAATCATTCCTACCTATTCCTCTATATTCTTATAGCAAGAATATATGTAGCTTCTCCTAGATCCTTCCTAGCGAAACATTTCCCAAGCCAAGACTTGACTTCCTGCAAAATTGGAATGATGTTTCCTATCAGGAGTATGTCATCCACACACTACAATAAAAACGTGATTTTGAAAGATCTAGTATGCCCAATAGTCATTATAGAATGATATTGCTAATAATATATGATCCTATAGGGTCACACCATATAGCAAGTTACCGTAATTGATTATTTATTAGTATAATTTGATTATTAATAAATATATCGACACTTTTATTTAATTGGAAAAAATTATTATTTCATGGAAATAATATTTTACTAATTGAGAATTTATTATTTGTGAAAATAATATTTATTGGAGAAATAATAACTTATGAAATATATCATAAAGTATGATTATTTATAAGTTAAATTTATATCTTAATAAACTAGTTCAATTTATATAAAAGATAGTTTTATATAAAATAAGATATTT